GCCAGGGGGCGGGGACGGTTCGGCCTGGGTGGCCTCCGAACCGCGTGGCGCCTCCTCGTGGCCGGGCGGGCCTGCGGGCGGTGCTTCCCTCTGGTCCTCGCGGCATTTGTCACCGCGTCATTCTCCTTGTGTAATTATTGGGCTGTCGTTTGAGTTTTAGTGTAGTGGGCGCTTCGCGAGGGCAGAGAATGTGCTTTTTGTCAGCTGGCTTCCCTAACAGAGGTTCTCAAAGCGTGGTCCCCCCATCAGCAGCTTCAGCATCACCTGGACATTCGTTTGAAAAGCACGTTCTGCTGAATCAGAAACTGGCCGTAGGGTTATCAGTCAGTGCGTTAAGAAGCCCTTCCGGTGATTCCGATACCGGGGCTACGGTCTGAGGACCACCGCTCCGGCAGCACCGTGTTGGACTCAGTAAATTCGAGTGATTTTATGTATCTTCTTCCCTTACTAGCCCGATGAGTTAACTTTTTCTTAAGTTAAATTTGAAGTATAACATAAAAATACACAGACGCCAAGTGTAACGCTGGATGAATTATCACCAACAAATTCACCTGCGTAGCCACTATCCAACTCAGGAAATGGTGGCTCACTCAACTTTGGTTTTCCAAAAATGGAGTGCAGTGCCTGATACTTGTAGGTTCTCATTGTTTCTTGAATGAACGACATGGCAGTTCCCTGGGGGAGTCCCACAGACACAGGCCTAATGAGTTCTGAGTTAAGACGATAGCTTGAGACAGGAGGGCCACGTACTTTTACAGTAATAGGACTTAAGTCTAGTTCAGGTAGTTACATTTCTCAGTCTGAGTTGGGTTCACTCAGTCTGAGTGTTGCTCTTTTTGGCGCAGGTGGTTTCACTCATGATGAGCTGCTGAAGGTATGGAAAGGACTGTTCTATTGCATGTGGATGCAGGACAAGCCGCTTCTCCAGGTGAGTGTATGTTAAGGCAGCGGGAGAAGCTGAGCAACAGTGTCAGGGAGGACAGAGGGGCGTGTGGTTGACCCTGATTTTAATGTAGCTGAAAACGCTGGGGGAGGTTTTATAACTTTGATGATTTTATTTTTTTAATGGCCGGAGGGCCAGGACGTTTGGTTAGATCTTACACTTGCTGAGTAGAGCACCTTAGCCACACAGGTGACCACCAGTGCAGGTCATCGCCTGGGTCGTCGGTCATGTTTGTGAGAGATCGTAAACAGAGCGCTGAAATGATAGAAACCAAGAGAGAGAGGGGCCAGGTCTTCTCAGACACAGATTTCTCCCACAGTCTTTTCTTTTTTAATTGTCTTTTAAAAAAATAGACTATTTTTTAGAGCAGTTTTAATTCACAGCAAAATTGAGGGAAAGAACAGAGATTTCCCATACACTCCTACTCCCACACATGTCCGGCTGCCTCTGTTACCAACGTCCCCACCGGGGTGGTACGTTTGTTATGATTGATGAAGCTACAATGACACATTGTCATCGTCCAAAGTCCATAGTTGACATCGGAGTTTTCCCCAGTGTACTTCCTGTGGATCTGGACAAATGTACGGTGACATGGATCCATCAGTGTGATATCTTACAGAGTAGTTTCATGGCCCTAAAATGCTAGCCTTTTTAGAATAGTGTTTCTCAGAGTATCAATTGTTTGCTCTTCTTCAAGCTCCCCTGGGCGGTGAGGGTGGTATTTAAAATGCAGATTCCCGTGCTGTATTTCATGCCTCCTAAGCTAGAGTCTCTCGGGGAGGCTCTGGAATTGCCTATTTAGCAAGTGCACTAGGCGATGCTTGGTCAGTGACACAGGCAGGCAGCGAGTAATTTATAGGGGTCCGGTTGGCCCCTCTTTCTGCTGCGTAGGCGGCTGCACATCCTGAGGTGCCCTGCTCTGTTCTGCCCTGTCTTGTCCCTTCCTTTGACTGTCAACTTCTGTTGGTTGGGGCTCAGCCTTTGTCATGAGGGCAGTTGCTGCCCCAGCTGCGAGATTCTGTTGGCCCCAGCTGTGGGGGGAGGCCTTTCACAGGAGGGGTGTAACTTGAAAACCTCAGCCCCCTGGGCTGGACAAGCCTGTGGAAGCCGGTTCTCGTGATGAGTGGGCAGTCAAGTGCGTTTATCTTTCTGCTGTTACTTGTAAAGACCACATTTCTGTAGGGGCTGAGGGAGCTTTTTTTACTGTTCCCAGGAGGAACTAGGAAGGACCATTTCCCAGCTCATCCATGCTTTTCAGACAACAGAGGCACGTGAGTATCCTCGCCGTGGTTGGGCCCTCTGTAGGGCCGGAATGGCTGGTGCTCAGCCAGCCAGCACATCCCGAACGCTTGGGTCTAAGATCTAGAGCAGGAGAGGGCCCGTTAGCTGGTGTCTGCGGTGCTTATGTGTGGGACACTAACGCGCGTTCGCTTATTTACCCAAAACACACTCGGTTCAAAAGTCTGAAGGGCTGGCATCTTATATTTAAAATACAAATGGGAGGTTAGTGCAGTGTCACCAGGCCGCCTGACTGAGTCTCACCTGACAGCACAAAGGTCCTCGGTGCGTTTCTCTAACTCTGGTTTTTGTCTTGATCAAGATAAGTAGTCCCGACCCTGCTGCCTGCCTGTGGGGTCACCTGGGAGTCTTTAGAAATCTGATACCCAAGTCTATGGCCATGCCACCGTGAACAAGCCCGGTCCCGTCCGATCTCGGAGGCTAAGCAGGGTCGGGCCTGGTTAGGACTTGGATGGGAGACCACCTAGGAAGACCAGGTGCTGTAGGTGTAAAAAATTAAAAAATAAGAGATTGTAAGCTCACAAGGTTCTTGCAATCTGTGAGATCAACCAAGGGTTGCCTCGCCTAAAAAAATAAAAATAAAAATAAAAATAAAGATTAGAGTAGCTGTAAATAAAACAAAAAATAGAAAAAATAATAAGAAGATCAATTAATTCAAGAGTTGATTCTTTGAGGAGATCAATAAAATTGACAAGCCTTTAACCAGACTAATTAGGAAAAAAAGAGAGAAGATAAATCACCAATATCAGGAATGAGAGAGGTGACATCACTATAGAGTCTTCAGATAATAAAAGGATAATAAGGTAATGTTAAGAACGATGTTATGCTAGTAAAATTTGGCAACAGATAAAATGGACAAAAAAGACATAGACTACTGAAGTCCACTCAAAAAGAAATAGCTAAATAGCCCTATATTTGATAAAGAAGTGGAATTTGTAGCTAAAACCTTCCCATAAAGAAAACTCCAGGCTCAGATGGCTTCACTGGTGAATTCCACCAAATATTTAAGGAAGAAATAATACCAACACTGTATGAACTCTTCTTGAAGACTGAAAAAGAGGGCATATCTCCCGATGCATTTTATAAGGCCAGTACTACCTTGATATAAAACTAGGCAAAGACATTACAAGAAAAGGACACTACAGACCGATATCCTTCAGGAATATAGATGCAAAAATTCCTGGGTGAAATTTTAGCAAATCCGGAGACCACCTAGGAAGACCAGGTGCTGTAGGTGTAAAAAATTAAAAAATAAGAGATTGTAAGCTCACAAGGTTCTTGCAATCTGTGAGATCAACCAAGGGTTGCCTCGCCTAAAAAAATAAAAATAAAAATAGAAATCTCGATATCCAGACCTTGGTCTTAAAAAATCACGCTCCGAGGGCAGGGCCTGGGCAGCAGTGTTTTCGGCGTCCCCGTGCGGCTCCGAGGGCGGCCCAGGCTGGCAACAGACGCCGGGCCCGTTGCCGGCGGTGCCTAAGTGCCGAGGGCGGGCTCGGCTCAGTGAGACTTAAGTAGGCAAAGGAGTCAGAGCTGGGGGGTCCGCAGGGCATCTCAGGAGTTATCGGGGGAGGGGCGGGGTACCGTCCCTTTGTGCCCTCACCTTCTCAGAGCCAGCGGAAGAGCCCGTGACACTGGAATGGGTTAGTGGCCCGTCCGCTGCCGAACCATCGGACCAGCCCTTCGCTGTTGGAGAAGCCTGTTCCGGGAGCTTCCGCTGCCCCGTCGTGTGCTGAGCTCGGGGCGGCGGCTTGTCCTCCGAGGCCTCTCTCCTTGGCGTGGAGACAGTCGTCCTCTCTTGGTGTCCTCACGCAGTCGTCCCTGAGTGTGTCTGTGTCCCCATCTCTTCTCATAAGGACACCTGCGAGATTGGATTAAGGTCACTCCCGTGACCTTATTTTAACTTAATTACCTGATTAAAAACCTAACGTTTAAATGAAGTCGTATTCCGAGGTGTGGGGGTTAGGGCTTCGACAGGAGTTGGGGGGACACAGTTCAGCCCGTAGCATTCTGATTGTGACATGGCCGTTCTCAGCAGGGTTTTGTGCTTGATCTGGTGGGGCCAGTAGCGAGGTCAGGCTTGGGTGTCAGGCGGGGCCCTCAGCGCCAGCCAGGCGGAGACGGCCTGCGGGAGAGGTGGCCTGGCAGCCGCCTCTCTTGCTGCTGGCTTTGCTGTCTTTGCGCTTGTCCTTCGGAGAATATGGCTGCTGTTCGGGTTGTAGGTGAGTTCCACTTTTCTCTCTGGGGTCCCCCATAGCCTTATTTCTAAGCCAGATTCGTGGCACCGCCTCACGGCTGAGCAGCACAGGGGCTGGCCACACGCCGTGTCCCGACCAGGTTGTCTCGCGCACTCGCCTCATTTCCCAAAGCGGCTTCCACGTCCCTCTGTGACGCTGCTGGCCTTTCCTTCCCAGAGCACCTGTTCCTTCAGACCTTCTGGCAGACCATGATCCGCGAGTGGATGGGCATCGACCGGCTGCGCCTGGACAAGTTCTACATGGTGAGGAAGCTGCCTGCGTGCCCCAGCGGAGTCCCCTGAGGGGGCGGTGGTGGCGGGTGTGGGGAGCGGGTCTAGCACCTGGCACCCTGTTGTGCTGCCCCGTAGAGCCGGGGACCGGCATGGAGCAGCCTGGCTCCCCAGCCGCCCGCCCCCGCCGGACAGGGCAGAGGCGAAGGCTGCTGGGCAGTGTGGCCGCCCTGACGACAGGCCCGTGAGCCTGGGTCCTGCAGTGTCTGTCCAGGCTCTGTGGGCTGGTGAGGGGCAAGGAAACAGCTCCGGACACACCGAGACTGTCAGTTCGAGGCCGTGGGTTAAGGCCGCTATCTTGGGACTTGGCGGTGAAGCTGTCGCTCACGCTGTGGAAGCCGTGAGCAGGGGCTTGCCAGACAGCCTTGGGGTGCCAGCCTCTGACGGCAGCGCCTGGGCGAGGACGGCAACGCGGCGGTTGTCGCTGAGGCCCGTCTGTCTACTCCAGTACATGTTCCTGCGAGTTCGGGTTACTGGTTCGCCCTCAGATGTGCAGGAAGAACCGGATTGCACACACAGGCGTCTTGCTCCTCATCCTCCTCCATCCCCGTCCCCCTCCCCTACCCCCCCCTCGCCCGTGGAACCACATCTTGTGGCTACATAGTGTTCCCTGAGGCTTAGGACAGTCCCCGGATGAGGAGACAGTGTTGGTTTCTGAAAGCAGGTGGCCCATTGGACACACCGAATGGGGCAGTGGCCAGGCCTCACTGAGGACAGGTCCCCTGAGGGCTGTGGTGACTTGTGATCTGCCACTCAGATCAGCCACCTGCTGGGCCTTGGGCCAGGGTTACGTGGACACTGCATGCCAGGTGTCAAAGTGCAGACCAGCTGGCGGGCCAGGCGGGGAGCCGGGGAGGGAAGGAGTGGGGGTGCCACCGTGCCGGGCAGGCGAGCTGGGCCAGGCTTCGCACCTTCACAGAAAACAGGTTTACGAGACGGGCTCTCGCATGTCCAAGTGCAGCCGCGGGCCCCTGGGCACGGTGCAGTCTGCTGCTTTTCGAGCCCCGTTTCCTATGAGCCCCATGGCCGTGCCTAGCAGCACACCCCCCGTGTGGGCCAGAAGTGCCGTGAGCCACTGCGCAGGGGAAGTGGGACTGTGGCGGGAGTCGGGGCTCCATCTAATGGGGAGGCCTGGGGAGCATCTGAGCGCCCGGACCTTTCGCTGTAGGGGGCAGAAGTTCAGGGGGAGCTTGGAGGAGATGGGGTGTTCCCAGAGCTGGGTTTTCCGGGGCTCTGCCTCCCGTGGGGGACCTGCGCTTCGTTCCCCGTCATCACTCCTGGAGTGGGGACCGGTCTGTCTTAGCTGTTGTTGGTGGCAGTACCGTTGCTACGCAGTTGTCCTCTGTGAGCCCAGTGCGCTCAGAAAGTTGGGCATCTGCACCGATTCCCTCTGTGCCCAGGGTCCCAGGGTCCCAGGGTCCCGAGGCCCCGAGGCCTTGGTGTCCTGTCCACCAGCAGCATGGGGGGGCCCGCCGTGCGTCTGGGCGCAGAGGGGACGTCTGGGATGTTAGGGTTGCTCTCACTAACGGAGTCTCTTATGCCACAGCTCATGCGGATGGTCCTGAACGAGTCCTTGCAGACCCTAAAGATGCGGGGCTGGGAAGAGAGGTCGGTACTCACAGCGCATCCTGAGGCTGCTGCCCATGGGCAAGTCCAGATGCATGTTCCTGGGGGACGGGGTTCATGTGTTTCTTTCGTAATTATCCGTCACAAAGAGATGGCGGCCTTTATGTTAACGGGGGACCAGATGGCACTTAAAACGAAGGCATTTTTAAAACTGGTTCGCATGTATTCAAGGACTGTTTTCAATTTGACAGTGGGTTCTGAGTCAGGATTGAGTCTTCTCGTGATAATGTGCATCAGGTGTTAGTGCGCTCAGCTCTGTGGTCAGCGGTAATGGTTCCTCGTTCTAGAAATAGTTCGTCCAGACTTTTGTGGATGGCGGTGCCTGTGCTGGGGTGATCTCTGTTCCCCCAACTGCAAGGGGCCTGCATTTCTGCTGACAACAAGCAGCTCTGGGCTCTGCTGGGTCTTAGCTCCTCCCCCCGCCCCTCCCAGAGACCCTAGGACCACACAGACGCCTGGCACCCGGATGCCGCCGAGTCATGGGCAGCAGCTGTCCCAAACTCGGGGGCCAGTCACAACACAAAGTGGGCCTCTGAAGTGCACACTTTGAACTTTTTTAAGTTCATTTGAAACTTTGTAACTTTTTTCTGAGTAGTACATGCTCAGTATAAAGAACTCAGAAATTTATAAAACGTTAAAAAGCAATTTTAATTCCAACGTGTAAGTTTTATGATGCTGCATCGTTCTGTGCGCATGGTGCAGGGGCATCATATCAGACGTGATATTTGCAGGCTGCTCTTTTTTGAGCTGACTCATGTTCTACAGCATGATTTTTTGTGGGAGTGGGTGAGGGTAGGGGGCTCAGAAACATTGTGTTTTGAATTGACTTGTGATTACAGAGTGCACGTGACAGGTATGTGTGTGGATGCTGAGGCCCGCCCTGCAGCGGGAGGCCGGCTCCCGGCCCGGGGTGTGCTGCTGCTCATCTTCCCGATGGCGCAGTCAGCAAACGCGGCCTCGGCCCCTTTTCCCCGTGTGAAACAGTCAGTGGGAGTTGGACTGTAGCTGCCTAAGCTTTTCTAAGTTCAGAAGTCCTGTAGGCGGCTCCCGTTTGGGGCAGGAGTGCCTCTGGCTGTGAGTGGTTTTCGTCTTTGAATGCCCTTGAGGACCTTGCGGCCGAGGGTCTCACTTCAGGACCTTGGGCTGTGGGTTACCCAGTAGGGAGCTAGTGGCTGAAATGGAATTAAGTGATAAAGGGGACAACTTTATTTTAGTTAATTTCTTACTGGTTTGCAAGTAGTTCCAATCTCCTTGTCCTTAGTAATTCAGGGCAAAGGTTGTCTCGAGGCGGTGGGTACAGTCCCATTGCCCTGGGGTGACCAGTCCTGCTGGGAGATCCCTGGCCTTTCTCGCCCTGGCAGCAGCTGGACTCTGGTTTGGTCGGTGTGTGTTGTCCTTCCCCGCCCTGGAGGAGGCCCGCGCACCTGCCCGGGCCGTGCACACCATCACTTTCCCTCCCCTGACCGGTGGGCGCCGCTGTTGCCCCGCACCCTTGCGGTCATCCAGGTCGCTTAAAGAATTCTGCTGCCCGGGCGGAGGGACCTGAGCGTCCTCAGGCGCCCAGGAGCGCAGATGCGTCTGGACCACTGCCCGCTGGTGTCTGCAGCTCCCTGTCCTGGGCCTCAGACCCTTGGAACCAGAGTGCCAGGAGGTGTAGGTGACCTTCGCGGGCCATGTGCTCTGCAGCAGGACCTGGGAGCAGGCTCGTTCCCTCTGTGGCCTGCATCTCCTTTTTGGCATTTGCTCTGTCCCGATGTGCCTCCCTGAGCAGGTCCCAGTGAGGACAGCAGGGAGGGGCATGAGACTCCGACAGGTGGTGCAGGCCTCCTGTCGCATCAGGCCTTGCCCCCAGTGTCTGGAGGACAGAAGGGGGCCTGCGTCAGTGCGCGCATCGTGGCTTCGTAGCTGAGTGTCAGTCACGCTGTGCATTCGGGTGCTTGCACGATCACATAGGTCCAGAATTGCAGGGGTCCCTGGTGTGGGAACGGACCCTTGTGCATGCGCACAGTGGCGTGTTGGAAGATGGGGCGCCTGCCCGTGATCGAGGTCCCGTCAGCCCCCGCTCGCGCAGACACCGGTGCCCTGGCGCCTGTGGCAGCTGCTGCTGTATTTGCCTGTGTCTTCCTCAGACAGATGGAGCAGCTGCTGGACCTGCTGACGACTGAGATCCTGCACCCTGACAGCGGGGCCCCCAGCGGGGTGAAGAGCCACTTCATCGAGATCTTCCTGGAGGAGCTGGCCAAAGTGGGCTCCCGTGAGGTGAGGCGCGGGGTGCGGGGCGCGGGGCAGGCGGCTGCGGGCCCGGGAGCCGGGAAGAGGGGCTGACGCGGCCTCCCTCCCGCAGCTGACGGCAGACCAGAACCTCAGGCTCATCGATCCCTTCTGCACAATCGCCGCCCAGACTCAGGAGTGAGTGCCCGGCCTCCCTCCACTGGGTTCTTCAGGGGACCGTCTGGGTCAGGTCGCTGTTATGTCCCCAGGACAAGGCACCAGTGGGCCTGCTGGGCGGTGGGTGGGAAAGGTGGGCACGGGAGCCACGGTCTCTCCCCCAAGAGTCCCACCCGCCATCATGCCTGCTGCCCCTTCAGCCCCGTGGTCTTGAATAACGTCACTCGAGGCATCTTTGAAGCGATTGTGGAACAGGCCCCGCTCGCCATCGAAGACTTGCTGAACGAGCTCGGGGAGGAGGAGGCGTCAGAGGGCGCCGAGCAGGAGCGGGCTGCGCGGTCCGAGGAGCCGTACGGGAAGCCCGAAGGTGGGGGTTACAGGGGTTACAGGTGACTGGCGCCACCTCTGTGCCACCTGCCCTGGTCCCAGCCAGCAGCGGTCCTGTTGGGGTCCCCGCACACACCTCCTGTCCGGTCCCCTTGTTTCTGGCCTCGGCCCGGCAGCCAGGCATTCTTTAAAAACGAGCCCACGCGCCACTCGCTGCCCTAGCCCTCGCTCCAGGGCCCCCGTCCTGAGATGCCCTCTGTGACCCCCACCCCCGCTCCCGAGGATGCCCGCTCGTGACCCCCACCTTGCTCCTGAGGACTGATCGGCCCCACGTCTTTCAGGACGTCTCCTTGTTTCCAGGCCTGCGGCGGCCCCGCTCCCCTCAGCGTGAGGTAGTCGGGGTCCCCTACCATCTCGTGCTCTGGGCTCCCCTAGTCTACTCCTGTGTGCTCGGCCCAGGTCCTGGGCCCTGGCAGACGAAATTGTCGGTCTCAGGTGTACGTGTTAGAGCCTGTGACACCTGGTGTGCGTCCTTTGATTCCAGGCTCCTTCTGTGGAACTGAACTGGACGTGGGCGAGGAGCAGGCCGGGGATGACGAGGACAGTGCCAGCGCCGTCCTCCAGGTGGGTGGCCTGGGCTTGCGGCCGAGCACTCAGCCTCTGCCGCCCATTGCACCGCCAGCTGTGGGAGCCGGCAGAACTGGAGGGGAGGAGGCACCATGAGTGGGCACGGCAGTGGTCTGGCCGAGACTCAGGGACCCCTTGTCTGCGGGAACACAAGTCCTTGAAAACGGTTGGGGGCCAGGCGCCGGGGACTGGGCTCAGAGGCCTCCCCTGCCATTGGCCGCCCAGATGGGCTGCGGCCCGGCTCCTGGGTGCTGGGCAGGCCGGCGGTGCAGGCTGAGGGGTCGGCGCTGGGGCCGAGAGGCCCAGACTGGGCGTGTAGCAAGCTCACGAGTAGGCTTTAAATCCTGACAACTTGTGGAATCAGTAAGAGTTTATTTATTGGATTAAAGTTTATCAAAGTTAATTCTACTTGTGCTAACGTGGCCGCCAGAGGACTTGAAGTCGAGGGGCTCACCTTGGCGGCCCCTCAGTTTCTGTCGGGCGGCGCTGCCTTGGGGCCCGTTTGCTGCCTTGTGTGCTGTAGACAGTCCCCTGGGCCGAGGGGACAGCAGGAGGACGTCGGGGCGTGCCCTGGTGGTCCGGGCGCTCCTCTCTACTCGGCCCACGTACTGGGCGGTGACTGATGCTTCGCCTCCGCGTCTCTGTACGGCAGTTCGACTACGAGGCCGTAGCCAACAGGCTGTTCGAAGCAGCCAGTCGCCAGAGCACCCCCTCTCACAACAGGAAGCGTCTCTACAAAGTGGTCCGAAAGTAAGTGTCTCTCGGGGTGACCGGCCCGTCCTTCCCACCACCCTTAGGGCTGCCCATCCCCCCTCTCCCAGTGGCCTGCGCCAGGCGGGAGGGCCGTCCTCAGCGTCCGAACTCGGTGGGGAGAGCCCGCCCGCCAGCTCGGGAGGCTGGAGGCCGCGGGGTCGCCTTCTCTGGTGCGGCCACCTGCGGGAGCTGTGGCCTCCTGGGTGACCACCCCTCTCTCTTCCAGGTTGCAGGACCTTGCAGCAGGTGAGCCCTGGGCCGTGCGTTGAGGCTGCTGTGGGTGGCGGGCATCCCGCGCTCTCCGGGGGCGGGGAGGGCGTTGGGTCACGTTGGCTCTGCAGCAGGGACAGTTGCAGAGGTCCCCCCGGCGGCCGGGGCTCTGCGGGCTCTGCGGGCTCTGCGGCACTCGCGAGTTCAGTGCTGGGCTGGGGGAGGGCGGGGGAGGCGTGCTGGGCTGCTGGCCGCATCTCCAGGCCTCAGAGTGGCTGGTGCAAGTGGTGCCTCTTATTCTGAAAGACGATCTTCTGGAAGGTTCACGATTAGAGATGTTGCATTTTCCCCGAGCATTTCATTTTAAGATTTTTTTACACGTGTGACAAAGTTAAAAGGATTTTACCACGAAGACCTGTACGTCCACCGCGTTTCTGCACCGGCATCTCCCAGTCCCTGCTCTGTCACCTACCTGCCCTTTGAACCCCCTCTCCCCTGTGAGGCCGTACCCTAAATGCTTCATGTTCATCAGGAACAAAAGTCGGGTATTTGTTGGACGTTTACTTGCACCGAAGTGCACGAACACTGGGCACGTGGCGGCTGCGAGCAGTGCGCAGGCCAGAGCGACATGAAGCCCGTCCAGTACGGGGCCCTAGCGCCGCCCCAGAAAGGGCTTTTCCCCGTGTAAGCGTGTTTCAGAAGGGAGCTGTGATATGTCCCAATCGCTCCGAGAACCGGCTCCTGTGTGTGTCGTGCTGAGCGCAGTTTCCAGTCGAGTCGTGGCGGGCGTCAAGCTGGGTCTCCTCGCGGGCCGGGTGACGTGGCGAATGCTCAGAGCGAACCCGGCCTGCCCTCAGCGCTGACCACCCGCCTGGGTCCTTAGGCCTCTTCCCTGAGGATGACGTCCCGGAAAGGGCCTACAGGAGTCTGCGGGAGGGACGGCGGGCGACGAGGACCGAGAAGCGCCGGCCCAGGTCCAGGCTGCAGGACGAGACAGGTAGGACTAGCGGTGTCCGCCGGCCTCCTGCCTCTAAGGGCACAGGCCCGCCGCCGTGGGCCTGCGCGTCCTGGAGCTGTGGTGCCCTGGGCCAGGTCCCCGGCAGCAGTGGGGCTTCCCCTGTGGCAGTGCCTCGTGCTTGTGCTGGCAGCGCAGGGTCACTGCTGTCTTTCCTGCCTCCCTCGTCTGCACCTGCCACTTGCTGACCCTTTTTCGTTCTCGATCTGTGTGCACGTGCTGGGTTTTGAGCCAGCCACTCTCGAGGGTCCCCCGGCATCCTGCTGTGCTCCTCAATTTCCGAGCTCTCCTCTCTCCCTCCCCTCTTCCCGCTGTTGCCCCTCTCTCCCTCCCCAGCTTGTCCGCAAGTGTGGCGAGGTGTGCCGGCCCTCTCTAAGGACTGCCCTGTGTTCTCGTCACACTCGGGTCCTGTACCCACTGCAGACCACCAGGGCACAGGCCGCCTGCTGCAGTGGAGCTGGGCTGTGCCCACAGTGCCCAGCGGGGTGGGGCAGCAGGGCCCGCAGGGGCGTCTGGGAGAGAGAGGGATGGCCCCACCTCCCATTCGACATGTGTCAAGCTGGCGCCAAGGTCTGGGGACCCGCCCTTTGAAGGGTCTCGATTCGCTCCTGCTGCAGCCCAAACCGTCTCCACCTGTGTGGCGTCACAACTGGGCCCTTGCTGCAGGCACAGGGCCAGCTGCACGTGGATGCCCGGCCAGCCCCACCCGGCCTCGCGCACGCGGCTCTGCACTGAGCTGGGTCAGAGCTCGCGGCCCTGCTGTCCGAGCCCGCCCCTCAGCTAGTGTCATCTCCAGCCCCACACACGAGCCGAGGCCCGCCCGTCTCCCTTCCCCCGTCGGTCCTCTGTCCAAGGCCCGTTTCTGGTTCCGGGAGCCAGCACACCCATAGGCGCGGGGACTCCCTGTCTGCTCCTGGGGCTGCTGGTGCTTCTGTGTCAGACGCTCCTGTGTCCTCTGCTGCCCTGGTCTGGACCCTTTAGTCAGACCCGAAGCAAGGTGACCCCGGCTTTCGTGGCTCCTCGCTACATGGCCTTGCTGTTCCAGGGCCACATGGACGGGAGGGCGTGTGTGGAGACCCAAGCTCTGGACCCGAGAGGACACGGCAGGGCACCAGGGCTGACCCCGCTGCACCCCAGGAGCAGCCCAGGGGCCGAGCCAGGAGAGGGGCTCGCAAGAGAAGGCGGCCTCGGGCTGGGGCCAGGAAGCAGGTGCCTGGCTGCCAGGGGCCAGAGGAGAAGAAGCAGCGGACACGGGAAAGCGAGAAGTGACGCCCACCGAGCCCAGGGAGAGGACGGGACAGGCGAACCAGGTCGGCCACGGTGGCCTGGAAAGTGCCACTCCGCTGACCTCAGCCGGGCCAGGCACCCTGGGACTGGACACTCCCCACAGATGTCCCTCTCCAGCAGGGGCCGGCCACGTGCTGCCGCTGTAAATAAAAGGCCACGCTCTGTCAAGCAGAGTCCCACCTCTGTCCTGCACGCAGGCCGGGGCTCTGGCGGGTCAGGCCACAGGCGCCAGTTCCCGAGCAGTGTGTTTTATGCCTGTTTTCGTGGGTGAAAGACCTGTTCACGTTGCCCAGACGACGTCGAGAAGAGGCCGCCAGGTGCTCTTGGGGGTGTCTGGACAGGTGTTAAACGCGTTTGGTGAGCAGCAGGCCCGGTATCGCCTGTGACTTGGGGTTGTGGCCCCAGAAGTTAGAGGGGCGGCTCCTGCCTGCCCTTGTCTTCTGTGATGTGGAGGTGGCACCGGGCCTGACGTCCACCCGCAGACCCACCAGGCTGTGCCCGCCACCCCCGCAGCGCCTGTAAATTCGGTTTCAGCGTCGCGTGCCTCCATGGGGCCCGAGGCCGCTATGCGCTTGCTGGACCCTGAGCAGAGCACACGCAGGCACGTGCGAGGAGGCCCTGGCCCCAGAGTTCCAGTTAGAGGGGAGACAGGAAGGTGGCAGTGCTGTGGGGCACCCGTGGCTTCCAAGTGGGGCTGCAGAGGTGACAGGTGGGATGTTTCAGGGTTAGCCCATGGGCATCCCAGCCACCTGGGGCACTGCTGGGCCAAAGTGTATGGGTGAGCCCAGCGGGAGGCCCCACAGAGGCCCTACCTGAACCCTAGTTCCCGGAGCCTAGCTTCGTGTGAGCATGTCCCCAACCCCGGGGAGCCAGCACTCCAGACCCCTTGCTGTCCAGCTGGTGGCAGACGGTGGCCTGGGCAGATTGTGCTGACGGGGGAGCTGGTTGGTGGGGAGAAGGGAGCCCAGTGGTACCATCTGGGTCCACAGTTCCCCTTCCTCAGAGCCACTTACAGAGACGCCCAGCGCCACCTGTGCTGGCCAGAGCTCAGTAGTGGGCGGTGACCTGGCTGACTTTCCACCTCCCTCCCCAGCAGGACCTGGGGAAGGAGGGCTCTGAGGGCTCCTGTGTGTGTGCATGTGTGAGTGTGTGAGTGCGCGTGTGCACGTGTGTGAGTGTGCATGTGTGCGTGTGTGTGTGCATGTGAATGTGCGTGTACATGTGAGTGAGTGTGCGTGTGTGTGTGCATGTGAATGTGCGTGTACATGTGAGTGAGTGTGCACGTGTGTGTGTATGTGTGTGCACGTGTGTGTGGTGAGGGGCTCCCTCGCGTCTGTTGATGTCCCTTGGTCAAGGTCAGGAAGCGGCGTAGTGAACAGAGGGAGTGGGATGGTGACATTCCTCACAGCCCTGGCCGGGGCCCTCGCTGGCCAGGTCCAGTCACGCTGCCAGTTTGGTACCTTCCCCTCCCCCCAGAACCCGCGCTTCAACCACGTTTTGCTTACGCTGGGACTGGGGTGCACCGGGCTGAGAACACGGGACCCTAGGAAGAGATGGCACCCTGGCCTTGGGCCTGGTCGGTCCGGCCCCAGCCGCCCAGGGCCCTGACCTTGGCTGGCCGGGAAGGGGGGGCCAGCAGTTTTCGCAGCCGCCCTGCGGGGCTGGGCGCCCAGGGGCATGGGTGGCTGGACGGAGCTCTGGGCAAAGGTCTGAGAAACCCACGGGGCCTCCGCTCCGCCGTACAGCCCCGCCCCCCACAAGAGCCTCTGCATCCACCTGTGGAGGACGAAGGTTGGGGGACCCGAGGACAGAAGACAAAGGAGAAGAGTGGCCTCAGGTGCCCAGCGGGGAGTTCGGTTGGGGGGTGAGGCGGAACTTCGGGTGTCCTGTGCCCCTCCCAGCGGTCACCCCGCTTCTCTGCTGTTCCCTTCCCCCTCCTCTCCTCAGTGTTGATCTAGTCCCAGCTAGATGTCTGTGCCGCGGGACAGGTGACAGCAGACTGCGTCAGGAGTTGGGGCCCAGCCCATGGGGGAGGGCACAGCCTGCTCAGGGTCTCACAGGCTGAAATCCAGGTGTCGGCTGGGCTGCTGTCACACGTGAGGCTCAGGGTCCCCTCCCAGCTCCCCAGTTGTTGGCAGAATTCAGTTTTTTACAGCTGTAGGTCTAAAGTCCCCCTTTTGTCACCTGTCACCCAATGTCACTCCGAGCTTCCCTGGCCGCCCACAGTTCCCTGCCACATGCCCAAGGCCAGCAGGAGGAGCCTTCACCCCGAGTCCTCTGCTGCTGCGTCTCTGAGCTCCGGCCCGCCCAGCCTGGTTAGGTCCAGCCTACCAGGTGGCAGGGACATGAGGGCCGAATGCCAGGGTGGGCCTCTCGGACGCCCCACACCTGGTCCCCCCCCTCTCCTGAGTCATGCCTCAGCGCTCGACCCCGGAGCAGAAGACCCAGGCCCGCCCCCCTTCTGCTCCTGGACTCTGCCCTGTTCAGGAGGGGGGATGGCCAGAGGGAAAGGAAGTCACTGGAATGTTGGGAGCATCGTGGCCGATGGAGCTGGGAAGTGGCCCCAAGCCCGCTGGACGCCCGAACAGGTCCTCCTCGCCCACCAATGCTGCCAAGTTCCCGGGCCGGGGGGCAGGGAGGGGGCCGGGGAGTATGTTCGAGGTCACCCCGTCACCCCATCGCGACCCGCACGCCCACCGCCCCTGCCTCACAGTTGGTCAGTGCGTCCCTGCCCACCCCTGCCCTGCAGCGCCCCCAGCTCTGCCCTGCCTGCCGTCCCAAGCGCCAGGCACCCAGCCGTGGCCAGGCCTGTGGGGAGCTCCTGAGGAGTGGAGGACAAATGGGGACAGGCTGTTTGCCACCTGCCCCGGTCGTGGCCTGGAGCCTGGCCTGTGGGTGCAGGCCCCCGTCTGCCAGCGGAGAGCACGTGACCGAGCTGCCCAGGAGGGCGCAGCCCGAGGCCGGCCCTGTCTGCTCCCGGACAGGGCCAGGGGGGGCTCTGCGCAGCCTCCTGCTCCATCGCTGACCTCGAGCCGAGCTCCCGGGGCCGAGTCCTGCGTCCAGGCCACTCGCAGGGCTCAGCCCGTGCTTCCAGCCTCTGCATCCCACGCTCCTCAGTCCTCGCCTGCTCCAGGCCTGGGACCCTGGCACCTTCTGGCACCTCATTTGCTTCAAAGCACCTGAGGCCTGCGCCTTGCCCTGGGAGTGTCCGTCCCGGGGAGGGGAGTGGGCGCCCATCTTGGCAGCCCCCGGCTCTGGGAGCAGAGCACTCCGTCTCCGGAGGCCGCCGTGCCACGCCGCCCTGCCTGCCGGGGCTCCGGGCTGTCTGCTCTCACCTGGGGGTCCAGGCAGGAAACCCAGGTCTTCATCTTTTCTGGGGATAGAAGTCCGGGCAGCCTGGGGACATGCAGTCACATAGGAGCAGCGGCTCTTGGACGGGCGAGTGGCTGATGAGGAGCTGTGCCTGGCCGTGCCTGGCTCTCTCGAGATGCCCCCTGGCCCCAGGACTCCGACCGTGGCCCCTCCCGCGGCGCGGGGCAGCCACCGCTGTCACCGCCTGAGTCTGTTGGAAAGTGAGGTGAGGGTGGGCATTCTCATGGTGTCACCAGCAGCTGAAGGCCTGGAGAGACCTCATTCCTGTTTACCCTTTTGAAATAATTCCTTCCAGAAAGTTCTGGGCGATACATGCACATGCACTTTTTTCTAGATTAAAGCTAGGGGCAAAGTGTCCAGGCACTGGTCAGCCGTTCCCTGTGTCAGAAGGAGCTGCCTGGGAGCAGGTACTCCCCAGGGTACAAAGCCATCTTGGGGAAGAGGTGCGAGTCCACGTGGGGTCAAGGTGCTGTTGTCTACCACAGCCAGGCCCCGGGGGTGGCGCCTACGACCACGCAGGCCAGCCTTCAGGGGGTCTCTGCCCAGGCTTCTGGTTGCTGTGAGGCGCCACTTCCTTTGGTTAAAGCAGATGCAGCCCAGGTGGACGTGGGCCCACGGCTGGCCTGTGGCGGGTCGGGGTGGTCACCGGTGGGGTGGCTCCTGGGCGCAGAGCTGACGCAGCGTCCCATCCAAGGGACTACCGCCGGGCTCCCAGAGGAGAGTGGGCTGGACGTGGGCTCGCTGGGCTCAGCTCCCGCCCGGGCCCCTGGGAGCATGGCTGAGCCACAGGGCCGGGCCCACCTGGGGGCCAGTGTTTTTGGATGCTCCCAATCAGTCGCTGGCCGTGAGGCGTGGCGGGCCTTGTCGAGGGCATCCAGGGCATGTGGGCCCCCGTGTTGGACATGGCCAGTGGCAGTTTGCACGTTTGGGGCCCCATGCAAACCGAGCCTGTGGGGTCCCTCTTTAAACTGTTGGGAGTGTCGAAATGGTGACAGGCAGTCTGGACCATGCCCCGAGCAACTGCCGCAGCCTCGGGACTGGCCCGACAGGAACCCGCACTGACCAGCCACGTCCCAGTGACGGGGACCGGGGCTTGGGGAACCTCCACGTGTCTTGTGTAACTTGTGCCATGTTCTAACGTCTGCAGAGCTCGGCGTTTTATTTCAAAACGCTGGCTGGTATTCACGTGCCCGGGGCAGAAGACAGGGTGGGTCTCTCCACCTTCCAAAGGCCTCCACGGCCCTGGGTCCCAGAGTAAGGGGCAGGAGATGAAGCGGCGCCAGAGATTAGCTTTGCATCACAGTCTGGAAGGGTGAGGTGGGGACAGGCGTGCCTCCCCCCGCACTCTGTCCCTGCCATGTTGTCACACTGCCCTGTGGCGGCGCTGTTTGGGGGTCAGGTCCAGCATGGACCCTTTGGCCCGGAGCGTGGCGTGCGTTAGCATCTGTCCACTGCTAGGGCCCGCGTTGGCCGGCCGTGCGGCCCTCGGTGGCAGTGCGTGAGGGAGCTCCCACCAGGATACGAGCTGCAGCAAGTGACACCGTCACTCGAGCGTCTCATGGTGACACTGGAGAAGCCCATCACCGGGAGCTTCCGTGGGACGCGGGCCCGGCTCATTCTCAGCCGAGGGCGGGTCACACACATCGGGCCCCTTCCTGTCCCCGCGCTCACAGGCCTTCCCTGCCGAGGGTCTTCGGGAGCGGGTGAGGGCGGGTTCCTCTTCAGAGGAAAGGTAAACGGGAGTGGAAGGAGGATCCACGTGACCCTGTGTGGCCCTCACGAGTGAAGGGGTCTCAGGT